AGAGCCTGAGGTAATTACTTTGAGGGGGTGAGTTACCCCTGCAACTGAGGGATCAGCAAAACACTTATTGCCTTTCTCCAGCACCTTCCACTGGTGATCTCAAAGCACCCGTCCAACATGGGTGAACCGAACCTTGCAGCACACCCTGGGTAATCAGAACCATTAGCCCCATTCTACAGGTGGGGAAACCACAGCAGACAGAGGAACATGCCCCAGGGCACGCAGGCAAAGCTGGCAATGGAACCCAGGAGTCCTAGCTCCCAGGTCCTGGTGCTTTAATGCACAGACCACAGTTTCATAGAGTTTCAGGCCAGAAGGAACCATTAGATCATGTAGTCTGATCCCTTGCATAGCCCCGACATTAAATGTCACCCTCTTCCCCTCTATGGAGCCCAATAACGTGTTTGACTAACACAGCTTCCTGGAAGGCAGCTGGTCTGGATTGGACAACATCAAGAGATGGAAAACCGACCGCTGCCCCTGGTACCGTCTGATCTTCTTAACAACCGCACCCCAGCTACCGACCCTTTTTTCCCAAAGAGATGGGAGGGAGGCGGGAGGGGTAAGTGGGGCTGTGGGAGGAAAAGGAAGAGAACTGCCCCCAAATTATTCCCAGAGAAGATCTTTTAGAAAATCAGCCAATCTTTATTTAAAAATGGCCAGTGATAGAGAACCACCCCGACTCCTGATAAATGGCTCCAATGGTTAATTATTAATTATCCTCACTGTTAAAAATGTACAGCTTATTCTAGCTAATAGACTTCTAGGTAGAAGAGCGTCTCACTGCCTAGCATTGCAGGAACGGCCTTCGAGGGCCATTCAAGCCCCGTGGTCTGGTTCTTCTAGTGACTCAGCTCCTGGCTACATCCTGGCCACACTCTCCTCCCTTCAGGGTACCGGAGATCCAGCATCAGGGTTTGAACACAAAACATACCACAGCTGGGTCTTCTGTTCCTATTTCGCAGGGCTGGGAAACCCCCCAGTGCCTACCCCAGCACTCCCTCAAAACATAACTAAAGGAAAGACACCGAGGGGAGGGGATCCACTAGTGCAGTTATACTCGGCCCTCAGGGCTTCAGGAGCCAGTGTTATGCTTATAAGAAGCACACGGAATCTTTGCAAATGGGATAAGGCAATACGCCGCATTTACTGAGAGTACAACTTAAGCATTACAATCGGCATATGCTTCCATTCATTCACACACACCAAAAGGTTCTGCAGCCAGATCTTATAGTTACCAGTCCTCACTGTTGCTCGGTCAGTTCCAGTGACCAGCTGAAACTGCACACAAGGGAGGAGGAGCTGGGCTCTGTCAAACGCATTCAAAGCTCTGAGGCTGATGCAGAACGAACCCAAAGTCCCATGGCCATACACCCTTCTTTTATAGTGATAAGATCCCATACAAGTCTATGGACCTTGCTGTGTCACCGTGGAGCTGTCAGTCACGAGGTATTCAAGGTTGCTCTGTTTAGCATTATTTTGAGTTGTTACTGGGAGGATCTGCAGCTGTTTCTTATCTGTCCCTCTGGCTCAGCTCCTCAGTTTGTCCTTGGGGTGTAGGCCTTTGCCTGAGGTCATCAATCCGGGTGATTCATAATAAAGTTGGTGCCTCTCGACTCCTCCACTCCCTTCTTGACTGTCCGGCCCAGTTGTCCTGGCTCAGTTCATTACCAGACATCCTTCACTCACACCAAACAGTAAAATAAGGCAATTACAGCCCTAAAACGGCTATCCTTCTAAGAGCAAATGTTAACACAATCAGCAAAGAATAAACTCAGAACAATTTCTATTTACTAATTCAAAGCTAGCAAAATGGAGTATAAGGCAAAATAAACAAAAAGGAGAACAATTTTACTTGAGACAATTTCTTCCCATTCGGCTGTTGGCCTACACCCAGGGGTGGCCAACCTGCGGCTCCGGACCCTCGTGCGGCTCTTCAGACGTTAACGTGCGGCTCCTTGTCTAGGCACCGACTCTGGGGCTGGAGCCACAGGCGCCAAATTTCCAATGTGCCGGGGGAGGGAGTCCTCACTGCTCAACCCCTGGCTCTGCCCCAGCCCCTGCCCCCCACTGCACCCCTTCCTGCCCCCTCTCCTGGACCTGCCATGCCCTCGCTCCTCCTCCCCCGCCCCCAAACCTCCTGCACGCCACGAAACAGCTGATCGAGAAGTGCGGGGGGAGGCGCTGATCAGCGGGGCTGCCGGTGGCGGGAGGCGCTGGGGGTGGGGAGGGGAGCGGACGGGGGCTGCTGACGTTTTCCTGGGGCTCTTTGGCAATGCACGTTGGTAAATTCTGACTCCTTCCCAAGCTCAGTTTGGCCACCCCTGGCCTACATCATTTCCCTAAAGAGCCACCGTGGTGGGAATTCATTGTTTCATTTATTATAGCGCTCGCTGTCCATATTTAAACAGTGCGATGGGGAAATATTTCGTGTCTCTGATTCTCCCACAGCAAAAAGACTGAGTAGCAATTAGTATTTTATCAATGACAATCAGCCACGCTTATCCCGACTGAGGTGTTATCCAGACTTCAGATGATGAGCCTTACCTTCAAAGGCTCTCTTTCCTGAGCCGGAGACTGGTTAAGAACATGGTAAGACCCGCCTGATTGGTTAGGAACATGGAGGGATTAATAATTAAATCACCTGGTGGAGCCACCGGAGACACATGAAAGAGCCACTGGTGGGTCCCGAGCCTTGGTCTGAGTATCGCTGCCCTAGAGTGTTTAAAGACAGAGCCTGTTCCAGCTTGTACTGTCATCCTCTGCTCCTCTCTCAGACCCACGACAGAACCCCTCTCCCGCAGCCAGTGCCAGCCCTCTGTCTCTCCCCAGGGCCCGCTACGGGGACTGTCTCACTTCCCCCAGTCCCCCTAGTGTACTGTCTGCTCCAGCACCCCATAGCTTCCTCCTCCTATCCCCACCCTGCCTGACATCCCCCCTCCCCCAAATGCAGCAGAGTGGGTCTGATAGGCCCGGATGCTCCCATTAACCCCTCCTTAGGTCCAGCTCCCATGCCTGCCCCCCCACCAGGGGAGGGGTAAACGATCAGTCACAGGGGGCTGGATCAGCTCCCTCCCCTTAAAGTGGCAACTGCCCTGTGGCAGTATCTATCGAAAAGAACCCCAGCAATGGGCCAGGACCCTGCTGTGCTAGGGGCTGTACATAATAATAATCATCAATGCAAAGTCCATTATCCACCAAACACCCCTGACCGCCCCCAGCTCCTGCCAGGCCAGCACAGCCAACAGGCAGGTTGGCCTGTGGGGTTCTCTGCCACGTAGCAGCCACAGGCCAGGCAGTTCTAGCGGGTCTGGACCCAGCGCTTCTTCCCCACCCGCTCTCCCGAGGTGGAGCCCAGCTCCTGCCCGTGGATCCGAGCAAACCCCCCCCACAGGCTGGAGCAGGGGCCTGGCTGGTTTTGGGGGGTGGGGGAGAAGGGCCCAAGGAGTAGGCTGGCAGCTGCCTCAGCAGGGGAGGAAGAATGACCTTGGGTTATTTATTGTGTTGGGGAGAAGGGATATAAAAAGACAAAAAGAAAGAAATTTTTCTCTGAACAAAAAAAGAAAAAGCCCCAAAGTTGTGAGCTGCAGGTAAATTAGCCCCTTTCTCAGCCCTTCTGCCCTGCCCCCCTTCACTCAGGGTCCCCCCTTCGCCCCCGCTGCCCTGTGTAGCAGCTTCTTCCGAGAAATGATACCTAGCAGCCGCGCGGCGTGTGTGGGGGGGGGATTACACCGGTGAGTGGGTGCTGGTGCTGGTGGAAGGGAAGCAGTGACGGCCCTGCAGCCACTCGGGGGGCAGGGGGGAGTTGGGGTGCTTGGGTTAGTGGGGACCACTCTCCTCCCCCAGCTCCACCCCCTGCCCTGCTGAGCTGCCCCAGCCAGGGTCAGGAGATGGCTCTGCCTGGCAGCCATGGCCTCTCTGTGCCCCAGATCCCCCCCCGCCCCATCATGTGAAACAGGGACAAGCTCACCTGCTCCCACCCTGGGTGGGCGGGTGGGATGATGAATTCAGGTTGCGACTGGTGGGCAGCACGTTATCCATTGACAATGGCCCGTTATTATTTTATCATCATGCAGGGAGGTGGAAACAGAATGAAACATGGCTCAAAATAACCCCCAGGAGCCCCAGAGCTGGGGGGGGGGGGGTCCTCTAACCCAGAGACCCCCCAGGGTGCTGCTTCCAGGGGTCTATTCAGCACCAGCTCGAGTTGGCACAGGTCCCAGCAGGGGAGGACATGGCGCTGCCCCAGGTCCCCCAGTGCCAGAGGCCCCAGCAGCTCCTGTTCTGCCTCCAGCCCAAGTAAAAGCCCCTTTCTCCAGGGGGGAGCTCAGCACACAGAGCCCCACCAGCACCTCAGGGCATCTGGCCCACATGGCCCGTCCCAGGCCCGGCAGAGCTCCCTCTCGGTGCCCCCTGCCCTGCCCCTAACAGCTAAGGAGACAGAACGGGGCACAGACTGCAGCTCCCCTACGCAGCCCGGCAAAGCACCGGCCAGGCCTCCAGCCGAGGGGGATGGAACCCAGTGCCAAGCACCAAGGTTGTCTGGGCTGCAGGGTTTCCAGCCTCTGCCAACTCCGGGCAGGGATCCAGCCGGTCTCCTGCAGGGTTCGAGCAGCCCAGGGGCCTTCCACTGCACAGAAGGCACAACCCAGCCTGGAAGCAGCACTCCCCAGTTCTGCCAGTGGCAGGGGTCCAGAGATCAGGCCCGTGCCCCCTACGTGGCAGAGCACTACCCAGCAGGAGCTCTGGCACGGCAGAGCAGAGCAATGGGAATGGACTTGGAGCCGGGTGTGCCCCCTGGCAGAGAGCTGCTGGCAGCCCAGGGAAGGTGAGGGACAGGGACTCAAATCCAGGTCTCCTGCATGGCAGCCCAGAGCACCACCAGTCGTGACAGCCCTTTGCAGCGCTCCCAGCCTCTCCCAGCCAGCCCCGTTACATCACAGCTGGGCAGACCGCTGGGTCTACGGCCAAAACCCAGCCCAGCCCAGGACTCTCCGACTCCCTCGAACCACATGATCTCCTGAGGAAGTCCATCTGCCCCCAGAACAGGAACTCTGGGGAACGTGTCCGATATGCTAATGAGGAGCACAACGAGAAACACTAGGGGGCAAAAGCAACTCTTCATTTTGGCAGGGCGAGGCTGCCGGGCTGTCAGCTCAGCAAGATTCACATCGGGTGGCTGCAGCTGCAGAGAAGAAGGAGCCCGATATACTGGGATGAGCACTAGTTGCTGAACCATCCCCCGCCCCCTGTTTTTGGAGAACAAAAGCATGGGGAACCATGGGAAGACATCGTCCTGTGTTTTCCTGTTAGTTGCCCTCATCTTAGTGACAACTGGTCTGATTGCCTGTGTGGTCTTTATCTCCTTAGCCCCGACCCGGCTGAGACAGTGCCAGGAGCAGCTGAAGAATGACACCTCAGCTCTGATGGGGAAACTCGCCAACCTGGAGGAGGACAAGGGGGCCCTGGAAAAGCAGCGGGACGGGCGAGGGCAGAGGTCACGGCGCTGCGGTGGGAGCTGGCTGGCGCCAATCAGACCCTCTGGGAGACGCGTGGGCGCTGGGATTCCTGCAGGAGCCTGACGGTGGGTGCTCCGCATGTTGTTGCTGTTTAATATTGGCATAGGGTAGCGCCCAGGAGGCCCTGTCCAGGATCAGGGTGGCGCAGTGCTGGGGGCTGTGCAAAGGTACCAGCGCCAGGCCCTGCCCCGGGCAGCTCTCAGCCAGGGGACCATTCCAGGCTGCTCTTCCAAATGCTGCCATGATCTGCCTTGTTGCTTGTCAATACCCACCCCCCAGCACAAGCAGCTTTCTCCAGGGTCCCTCCCCACAGCCCCCAGTGCTGCTCCAGCTCTGGGCTCCCCACACCGTCACATGCATCGCCCCCTTGGTCCACCCTGGAGCTTCCCTCAGCAAGGGATTTGTCCCGTTGCTCTGTGGGGTGGGCTGGGAAGACTCCCACGCAGCTCATTTCACGTGCTCCCCAATGCAGGATTTGCAGGGGTGAGAGGCGAATGCACTAGCCCTGGGCGTCCCCTCGGTCCCTGGTGGCTTTTTGTTACGGCTCAAATTAATTTCCTTCTCTGCACATGTCTGCGTAAACATGGTGCAGGGACTCAACCCTGTCTGGGGAGCTGCGGCGTGCAGGCTGGCCTGGGGAATGCACTGTCCTGTTCTGTGGAGAGGAGGTGGTCTCTCCCCTCAGAGAGTGGGGAAGTGACAGCTGGAGGGACAGGGGGGACAGCAGCAGGCAGCGTGGAGCCTGCCAGAGACAGAGAGAATCTGAGTCTGGGACGAAACTGGGGGAAGCAGGGGAAGGAGGGAAACCAAGAGGAAGTGAAGAGACGGGATTGAGCGGGACAGACAGACGTGAAGATGAGGGCCCCTTTAGTAGTGCAAAGCTGGCTGGTCTAGTCAGTCCGTGTTCGATGGCCTGTTCCTGACCCTCCGTTCCTGTTTGTTCCTGAGCATCAGATCTGGTCGTCTCCTATCATTGATCCATGCTGTCCTGGAGATCTGGAACAGGAGAACCGAGGTCCTGCAGGTCCAGTGGGTCTGGTCTAACATGCTGTGACAAAGCGGGACTGTTCTTAATGTTTCCTCTGAATACTGTAGGGGTGCCTCAGTTTCCCCTATGCATTTCTTAAGTCTCTAGGTGGTAGGATAAGGCAGGGGGTGTCATTGTGTGCAGAGCAAAGGGCCAGTGTACATAAATGGCTGACACTGTCTCCTGGCAACTGATGGCCTGGGCCCTTCCCCCTTACAAGGTGAGAGCTAAAGGGTTGGAGAACAAAGGAATCAGGTGAGCTCCTGGCCCGGGGAAAGGGACAAAGCCCAGAGGAGGAGGGGCTGCAGGGGGAGTCGGTTGGGGCTGGCTGGGGACGAGGAGTGAAGTGCAGATGTGCTTGTCTGGCTCACTGCCCCCCCAAAATGGACCCGGCTGAGGGGTCCTGTTCTCTGCACGAACAAGCTCTGTTTTAGACCATGTTCCTGTTGTCTCATAAACCTCTGTTTTACTGGCTGGCTAAGAGTCACGTCTGACTTTCAAAGTTGGAGTGCAGGACCCCCTGGCTTCCCCAGGACCCCGCCTGGGCGGACTCGCTGTGGGAAGCGCACAGAGGGGCAGAGGACGCTGAATGCTCCGAGGTCAGACCCAGGAAGGTGGAAGCCGTAAGGCTGCTCCCAGAGAGGAGACTTCCCCAGAGTCCTGCCTGGCTTCGTAGGGAGCAGCTCCAGAGCCTTGCCGGGGGACTCCAGGACACGTGCACCCCCACATACCAGCACCACTGGATTCGAGTCCAGTTCTCCACGAGAGGATGAAAGGCTGATTTGGGTGTTAGCCGGGACAGAGCTGGGGAAAGGGGAACCTTGAACTAGGAAAAAATAAGGCACCTATCAGATAATAGCCTGAGAGGCCTGTTCACTGAGGCCTGAAGGCCATGGGCCTGGTGCTGCAGTAGGAGGCTCCCTTCCCTGTGAATCCATGCAGAGCAGTGCCCCGGGGCCAGGCTACGGTTATTGCTGGAGGTGCCAGCTTTCAGGCTGTTCATCCATCTCCAGTAATTCCACTCTGCTCCCCGTGGAACAGCAATGAGTAGGTGTCCACAGTCATTAAGCTGCCCTGTGGTGTTTTTCTGAGCTGCCACCTTCCGCCCCAGAGGTGGCTGCAGCCTGCACCGCACAAGTGGGCAAGGGCTTTCCTGTGTGCGTCACTGTCAGAGATGCTGATTCTTCTCTTTCGTTTTCTCGCTCAGCACGACCTGCAAAACAACATCACTGCCCTGAAGGATGAAATCACCCAGCTGGGAGGCCGAGACACTGAGCAAGGACGGGGACAAGGTAAGACGGCTGCTCTGGGCAGCTCCTGGCTAATGGCCACCAACCCTTTGGGAGGCTTAGGAGAGATCCTCTCTAAGACAGGGGACGCCTTTCTGGGGTGCACGCATGGAGCTTCCGGGGCCACGGTCATGGAAGTGTGAAGCCCCGTGTGCTGGGCCAAGTCCTCTCAGCCTTGTAACATTACAGGAGTGGCGGCATCAGGACAAACCCTCCAGATTCAATATGACCTGGGCCAGCCTGCTCAGAGCCAGGAGGCCGGGTCACTCCAGGAGGGGGATTTTCTGCTGCCCTGAACTGGGACTTACTTCCCCACTCTTTGTGGGGACGGGGGACTGGTTGGCTCATGAGGTTGGTAATCAGCTATGGAGCCTTGCACCCCTAGGTCGCTGGTGCCCTAGGTGCTGTTTGCTGACTGTTACGATAAGCTCAGCCTGGTTCAAAGGGGACAAAGGTCTCCAGCCCAAAAACGCCCACAAGAGCCAGCAGCCAGCGGCAGCCCCAGCAGAGAGACCAAGGACTGGTCAGGGCACAGACGCTGAGCTGTCCTTCCTTGTACATTCCAGTGTGTCTATATCCACCTGTTATCTCTTGTCTTCTGCTGAGATTGTTACCTCCATGGGGCAGGGAGCATCTTTTTGTCGTGGGTTTTTACAGCACCTAGCACCGTGGGGCCCTCGCCGATGGCTGGGGGTCCCAGGCGCTGCCGCCATCCAGTAAATTATCATTATCATCAACTGCAGAAGGCCAAAATCTTCTTGGCTGATAAAGGGATGGGGGAGGTGAATAGGCAGGGCCCGATCCTGTGTTCGTATCAGTGTGCTGATGACCAGCCCCTCCAGCACCCAAAACTTTCCTTTGACCCTCAGCCCCATTGACATAGGGGCCTGCCTGGCTCATCTGAAATAGAGGCAGGAGGTACAGTGCAGGCAGCTGCCCCCAGTGAGGCAGACAGAGGGCTGGGGGTGTCGAGGGACCCCTAGGATGTAGGGATGCGCTCGAAAGGGGGGGGGCGCATGCTGGGGGAAAAGCACGCTGCCTTATCTGACTGGCACTGGTGTCTGCGTCCCGTCTGTCGTCTTCCAGGTGAAATAGTCAAGCTCAGACAGCAGCTCCAAGAGGCTCAGCAGCATAGGTGAGACCAGCCCGTCCCTGCCCCATCGGGCTGCGCTGGGGGGGGGGGGGGCAGAGCTCTCTGCTACCATCTCCTTCCCTTTCCCTTGTTCTCCCAGTGATAAACTGCAAGCTGCCATCCGGCAGCTGGAGCAGCAGCGGCCCCATAGCCAGAAGAATCAGAGCTCTGGTGGGAGCAGCCTCCGGATCCCAATCGTGGCCGGCTACCTGAGCCTGCTGGCTCTGTCCCTCACCAGGGTCCTACTCCTGTGAGAGAAGCAGGTTTGTACAGGTACTGAGGAGCCTGGATGTGGACTCGGTTCAATTCCCCACCCTCCTGCTATCTCACCCCCACGCTCTTAGGCTGCAGGGCCCCATTCTGTCCCCTCCAACTGAGACAGCTCCTGCCTTCAGCCACTACCTCCGCAGCATGAGAGCTTCCTCCTGCCCTGCAGCATGGCCCTGTATCTCTCCGTCCCATTCCAAGCCTCTCCCCAGCTCGGCAGGGCTTGCAGGACTCAGCTGTACCAGGCACGGAGACACAGGCCTGCCCAGTCCACACTGGGAGTAGCCAAGCCAGGCAAAGGAAGGATCCTTACCCCCCTTTTACAGATGGGGGGGGCTGAGGCCCAAGGAGACGAGTGAATCACCCCAGGAACACAGGGCAGAGCCAGGACATTGACCCTAAATCTGCAGAGTACCAGCTCCATGCCATAAACACAAAGCCACCCTCACTCCCCATCTCCCCTTTCTCTCTCCCCTCTGCTATTAGGTAGCTCAGTGCAGTGGTTCGGTGGTGGGTAACGCAGGACTCTCTCTGTCCCTTGGGATTTGTGTTTCAGGGCTGACCACGCAGCGGGAGAGTGGAGAATCCCCACGGGAACACGGTGCAATGCATAACGCAGCCAGCTTGCCCCCATCCCCAAAACGCTCACGGGAACTATTCTAAGTCACTAGCTTGCTTGGCATTTCCCCTGGGTCGCGCAGGGAGACGGCTCCTGCCCAGCCCAGCCCTGGCGGAAGGATCTCGGCTCCTGCCCAGCACTGGAAGACGATGGGGAAACGGTGAAGAAGATCCAGAGGGTGAAGAGCACAGGGAGGAAGGCGCCAATTCATCCAGAGCCCCTGGGGTTTCTTGGCTGGAGATTGCCCCAGACGACGGTTGCCCTGAGCGGGGTTAAGCCCCAGCTGGGGTATTTGCTGCTCCCTTAGGGTTTCTATTTTTCTAATAAAATGTTGCCAACCCCAAAGTTTTGTGGTGTCATTTGTCCTCCCACATCCTGCCTGATCAGAGACACGGGGCTCAGAGTGAGCAGCCCCGGAGCCGTGTTCGTGGCCATCGCACGCCTGACCTGCCTTCAGAGAGCAGGGAAGAGGCAGCTCAAACTTTGCTGCTAGTTTGGAGCACGGGGCAAACCCCTCTCCCTGCTCCTGGGCTGGGGTGATGGGTTCTGCACAGGGCGCTCTTAGGGGAAAGCGCTGTGGGCCCATTCCTGGGGCCCCGCTCCAGGAGCCAGGTGATGGCATCAGACCCAGGGCTTTCATTGAAAACCAATCAGTTTAAAACGTTGGTTTCTAGCCCGCCTGCTTGCCAAGAAAAGCTTAAATACGTGATCCGAGTGTAACCACTGGAGCCCTGCTGCCTGAGTCTGCAGCCAGCCTGAGCCCATCGCTCTGAGAGGGCCCCTTATATCAACGGGGTGCTAACCCCCAGCCCACAGGGGGACCCTGCCAACCCCAGCTCAGCACTGGCTTCTGCACCTAGCCAGAGAAAAGTCCAGTGAACCCCACCCCCCCAAGGTGAATACTGGGGGGTCCTACTGCCAGCACTGCAGAGAGGGGACCCCCGCTGCTCCTATGGGGAGGGGGCTTTGCTGTTGCTCCTGGAGCAGGGAGCCCCATGCCTCTGCCCCGCCAGGAGCTGGGGGGGGGTGCCCTTTAACCCCGTTGGGTGGCAATGGGGGGGGCAAGCCCGAAGCCAGCTGCCCGGCCCGCTGTCCCCAGAGTTTTGGGGTCCCCCATGAACTCCGGAGCGCCCCCTCTGGCCCCAGGGGTTCGCCGCCGGGCCGGACCAGTCCCACCCCCTCCCCGCCCCGCGGCAGCCCCAGCAGAGAAACGAAACCGAAACCTGGGAGGGGCGGAACCGAAACCGACCAGCCGGGACTTCCCAGGCCCTGGCGCGTCCGGTCGGGCTGAGGTGAGACCGGGGCGCTGCGGGGCCGGCAGGGGTGAAGGCAGCCCCCTTGCACCCCGGGGGCGCTCCCCATGGCCGCGACGCAGCGGCCGGCCTCCTGCCTCCCTGCTCCGGCAGCGGCTGAGCGGGTCTCACACAGACACGCACAAAAGCCGGAGGGTTCAGCAGCAGCCAGCCCCTGCTCGCCGAGGGTCGCCCCACACCTCTTGGGCTGATATCCCCGGCTCGGGAGCCCCAGCCACCCTGGTGCCTGAAGCCCCGACCACACTCTGCCGAGCTGGCCTGAGCCCCCCGCCCCTCTCCCGTCCCCCCTGCAGAGCTGGTTCTCACTCCCCGGCTGTGGAGAAATTCAGCCCAAATCTACCCACCTGGGTATCTCCATTTCCCCCATCACCACACAGCCATGAATGGATTTAGCCTAGGAGGCAGGGTCAGTATTAGCCCCAGGTGGGATCTAGGACACCCAGAGGTGAAATGACTTTCCCAAGGCTAAACAGGGAGTCTGTGGCAGAGCAGGGAATCAAACCCAGAACACGTGAGCCCATGGCCTGTGCCTTAACCACTAGGCAACCTTCCCACCCAAGGAGGGGGAACCTCCTCTGCCACTTTGAGTGTGTGGGTGGGAGCAGGCACTAGGAGGTGGGGAGCAGGGAGAGATGGGGAAAGGGACGTAGGTGGGAAGCAAGAAGGGGGAAACAGGAAGGGGAGCAAGGACTTAGAGAAGAGAAAGGGGCGGGGAAAGCAAGAGGAGGGCAGAGGAGAGAGACTCTCCATTGCTTGTCCCTCCCATCCACCTTCTTCCCACAGCCATCAGTGGCCTCAGCTCCCAAACAGGAGCCACCGGCCCTAAGCAGGCGTGAAGCCCAGAGCGAAGGTAATGTCTTTAAACTGGGGTGTTAGTGAAGACAGCTTGTCGCTGAGTGTAATGAGTTTAATATACTGTAATTCATGACCATGTAATGATGTATTTCATGACTATTTTAATAATGATTACATTGTTCAGATGCCAATGACAGACACACATTCAATAACAGAATATGAAAGATGTGTATAAATACGCTGAAAATTGCCAGTTTTGGGGGAGGCTGAGTCCTCCCAAACACCCCCTCCTCCCTCGCCTTCAAGGCAGGAGGAGGCAGAAAGGAGTGAGCAGTGGGCAGGAGATGCTCTGGGGAGAGGACCTAAAGGGAGGGGGCAGAGCGGGGGCAGGAAGAGGTGGAGTGGGGCAGAGTGGGAGGGGGGGGCCCTTGGGGAAGGGGGCGGAGCCGGGATGGGGCACCCATCGGCAAAACCAAGAGTCATCACCTATACCTGCATCTGTACCACCCCGATGAGCCTCCCCACTGAGCCCCAACCACCTACCCCTGGACCCCCACCCAAACGAACCCCACCTCCCCTGAACTCAGACCCCCCCCCCCACCTGCTGAGCTCCAACCACTTTCACTTGGTCCCCCCTGCAGACTCCCATTGCCCCTGCACCTGGAACCTCCCTGTGCATCCAGATCCCTCACTGAGCTGCCTGCACCCAGACTGCCCCACACAGAACCCTCTTTCCCCCCACACAGAACCCTCTTTCCCCCAGCTGGATCCCTCCACACTAAGTCCCTCTGCACTTGGATCCTGCTGCCAGGCTGAGCCTCCCTGCCCACATCTGGTGTGCCTGGCGCAAAAGGGGCAGGGCCCCAAGGTGTTTCTGTGGCAGGTATGGCCCTTGTGCTGTGTCAGGTTCAGGTTCAGCCTCACTGCCAAGTCCCTGTCCCAGGGGGGCGGGGGAGGCTGCAGGGTGATGTCCCACCTCAGTGGCCTGTGCGCCCCACTGCCATGGCGGAGCTTCCACATTTATTTACCGTAAAAACAAATTGCAGAATTTTAAAATATTATACCCAGAATTTGATGCAGAATTCCCTCAGGAATATGAGGCGCTGTACAGCTGTGATGGTGGGACTGTGAAGGGGGTGCGGGACAGTAGGGGCTCTGTGGGTGAGGGAGCTGGGCAGGCAGTATGGTGTGCAGGGTGCTGTGCAGTTGTTGTGGGATGTCAGCAGGAGGGGTCTCTGGGCAGGGGGTGCTGGGCATAGGGATCTGGGGGGGAGGTCTCTGGGTGAGAGGGCACTGGGCTTAGGGATCTGGGGGGGGAGGTCTCTGGACAGGGGGTGCTGGGCATAGGAATCTGGGGGAGGTCTCTGGGCGAGGGGGCGCTGGGCATAAGGGTAGGGCACTGGGCAGGGGGGTCAGTGTGGAAGGGGCACGCTGGCAGCGCAGGACTGGGTGGGCCACTGTTCACGTAGCAGTTTAGGGTTTGTAAACAGAGCCCTTGTGCTGGGCTGTGCCCCATTGCCCCCAACCGGCCCCTCGCTCTGCAGACCGCCCCCCATCACATGCCCTATTTCCCCAATGGGGGCCCACAAAAAGTTAATCCCGCCCTGCTGCTCTGCCCCAATTCGCCCCCAGCCCCGCACTTCCTGGGGAGGGCTCGTTAATGAGGGATATGCTAATGTGCGATAGGCTAATGACGAACAAGCAGTGACAAGGATGAATATATTAATGAGGTGTCTGCTAATCACCATCTTAAATATGTTAATTACTGATGGTAATGAATTTGCATGCAAATACGGACTCATCTGGGCTGTGCTATTAAGGCATATATTAATGAGGGGTATGCTAATGAGGAGGCCGCTAGAAACTCTATAGCACCAAACTGCTCCTTTCCTTTGCAGGGTGTGGCCACCCGCCTGGCTCCCGCAGGGCCCTCTGAACCCGATGGGCGATCCCGGGGGTCTCGCCTCGGGCGGCAGGAAGGTCTGGCTCGCCGTGGCCACCGCGGAACTCGCCATCATCCTCATCCTGGCGGCCGGGCTGGGCCACTTTGTGGCTGAGGAGCGCTGGCTGCACAGCAAGGTGCTGGCCCTGCGGGAGGAGATGGCGAGTACCAACCGGACATTGCAGGAGAAGTGTGAGGGCTGGGACGTGTGCAAGAACCACACGGTACGTGCGGCGGCTCCCTCCAGCTGACGGCATCGCGGCGCCTGCTTGCCAACGCGCCAGACTCCTGGGAGCTGGATCTGAGCCCCCCACCCCTGCTTCCCAGGGCCCCTTGTACGCGCCGCAGGGTACAACACAGCCGGGATTCCCTCCTCCCCTTCCTAACCAGTGCCAGGGGCTGCCAGCCCTAGGCAAAGGCCAGGGCCAAACAGCAGCAGGAGGCAGATGGGATGGGAAGGTCCCGTGCTGAGGTTAGCACTGCCTCGCCCCTCCCGCCCCCCCAGCTCTTCTGCTCACAGGAGATGCCAGCCTGAGCAGCACACTGACATGGGGATAAGCCAGGAACAGGGCACCTTGGGGGGGTCGGCAGGAGAGAGACCAGGCTGGAATCCAGCCAGGATGTGGAGTTGTTTGGCAGTCCCCAGCCATCCCAGTGCACGGCCCCCTACGAGTCCAGCCTGAGGCTCCCTCACGCCCTCCGTCCTGGCCCGCAGCCCCACCTCTGTTTCAGTCCTGGGCATCTAGTGAGCAAAGGCTATTGGCTGCGTGATCCTGACCAACACCTATGCCGGGTGACTGCGTCTGGCCGGTCGGCTGTTCCAGTTGGATTCAGATGTCATGCCCCACCCCAGAGGTGGCTGCAGCTCAGCGAGCGGCTGAGTGAGTCCCAGGCAGTTTGGAAAGCGCTTTGAGGATGCAGGGCTCTCTGAAGTCTAAGGCGTTTCGTCTTTCTCTCCTCCTCCAGCACGTCCTGCAGAGGAATGTCACCAACCTGACCCAGGAGGTCACCCGGCTAAACAGCGACATTGCCCAGCAGGAAGTGGAAAAAGGCAGGTTACGAGGTGAGACAGCTGCTGTTCTTAGCCCCTCTGCACAGGCAGAGCCTGCTCCTAGTTCTGCAGGTGCCTGGGGGCTCGTGGGAAAACCTTCCTGCGGGAGGGGGTGCCTCCTTGGGGGGATAAGGCAGGCAGAGACCTCCCTGGGATGTCGCCCAGTGCCAGCATCTCCAAGGATTCCACACACTGGTCCCCTTGCCACTGCTGTGTGCCGGTCACAACCCAGACCGGTCTGAGCTCCAGCACCCCCAGGGCCGCCCTGGGAAAACAGTCCCCTAGCTGTGTCCCTCACCGCAACCCTCTCCTGCCCGGTGAGCTCATGGGAGGACCCATCCAGGGTAAACTGCATGGGCCAGGGGCCTGCTCTCGAGACCGGATGGGCTTCACAGGCAGGGGGGGAGCTCCTGGG